ATATAGGAGTGCGTAGGACATCAAACGAGCCTTAATTTAAATAGATACCTATAGGCCTTATACGAAAGGATATTAAAAATCTACCTAATAAGCTATTATAGAGGCTAAGTTTATATAGTCGTTTTTCCACTAGGCTAAACCGTACCCTAGTTCGGATCCCATTCGGATATATGTAGCAACAGACGCTAAGCCGTTACACTTAAGAGATGCGAGGATCTGCCTAGGAGTTGCTCTCTTAGCCTAGGCAGCTTTAATTTTTCGTCCGATAATAGATGCGACGCGTGGATTACGCTTTAGGAAGGTAGTTATCTAATGCTTGCCTATAGGCCTATAGTCTCTATTTATCCTTAGTATTTGGTTCGCCATTTCTCGTGCGCGTGCGTATGAGGGAGGAAAAGCTCGTGCGTCCTCTTCAAGTATTCATTATACAAGGAAGTCCTCCTGCTCCAGGGTTAATCGCTGTTAATATACATAGCTTGCGTAGTTGCTCTGTCGGCCGTTTATACGCGTCGAGATTGTGGACTGGGGGAGGTTATACGCTTTTGCAGCAGCTCTTTGACTTGGAAAAACACCAGAAATAATACCACGAATAGCTGATTGAATGGCTTCTTCACGGGCATCCATTTTGGCTGTGTGGGTGGCGAGAAAACGCGTGTTTTGATGAGGGTGTTGAGTTCTGATCAGTGACCAACATCTCCGGGTGATCAACTACCCGGTCGACTAGCTTATGTTTGATCCAGATTCAGATGTGGATCTTTGCGTTACATTCGGATGAAATGGCTGGCTTTAATATAAACTGGCCACTTGATTGTATATCCGAATGTTTTCGGACAAGTATTCCTTGGCGCATGTTGTCCACGCGGCATTAGAGAACGTTAGAGCCGAGGGATAGCCGCGGAGAACATTCCGACCGAAGTCTGTGGGTAGAATTTCGCGGCTTCTTGGACCGAGCAATAATGCAATTGGTGAGTTATATGTCACAATCCACAGAAATACTAGATTCTTACCGTCGAACCTCCGCCACATACCGTACCGAACGGCGCAACAATCACTCGCCTCACCAATCGCTGCCATTACAACCAGCTTTTCCACGTTCCGACCAACCTAAGTAGAGATGCGAAGATATGTATTCCTCGCGTGAGATATAAACCCGAAGTAACCATTTCCCTTCTTATACACAGTTATGCTTCAAATCACAAGCATAACATTATTTCTTATCCTTTTCCACTAGATACTGGAAGCCGAACATTCGAGAAGATCATCGTACGTTGCCAACAGTGAAAACAAAACCCAATGCATAACAGTAGGCTCGTGATGAAGATTCCCGTATATCGCATCTGCATCCTACATGCACATAGATGCACTATTCTATATATGACCTACAAAACACGCTTATAATTAGCTTTCACCTTACAGACATGACATTTTTCGAGAAGAGAGCGCGCAGCATGTGGTATGCACGATGCAGTACACATACAGAGAGTAGTACACATCATTCAGTGTATATTTTACGCGGCTTCAATAACCTAATAACCTTTATCGCTGTGACTTCGCGAAGCCAACTTACAGTCGAGTCTGAAATCCCCCACAACGAGTCTAACCATTTACTGTGGTCGCAAAGAGATCCCGAGCTGCGGACAGTTTCAGCTCCCCACGGCCCTAGCAACCCGCTCATGTGGCTGCTCGCTAATCTAGTGTCCCTAGATCATCCAGCCGAACCGTTTATTCCATCGTATCCATCGATCTGGCGCTAGCCTGGACATTTCCCAAGATTTCGGTACACACTAAGCGAATGGTGGCGTAGATTCTTCGAGCCGCGTTTCCTTATATCAAAGGCGTCACTTTAACTCATTGTAACACGCAACTTAAGCTTCGATAATATTAAGGAAAGCCGGATAACGAAGTGTTTCTGACCAGACTCTGGAGTTACTTTATAGATCTGCAAGCGGGGTGTGTGGAAGCGTAGTTATGAAGTTGGGTGATGGAAGAATCCGTGAAACGTACCACTAGTTTTGGGGCATGCGGGCACGGCCCGGTCCCTCACTATTGCTGTGACTACGCTAGTGGCGTTACTCAATTACTAATTAACCCAGCTTCAGCTCTGCATTCGTCTGGTTTCATGCTGACACATTGCAGTCTTGTTGTATACGCAACATTACCAGTGGAAAGCAAAAATCACAACGGAGCCAATTACGACAGCCCACTTTCTGCATTATCGTATTTGTGTATCGTGTATGTCAAACACGGGTATTGGATCAAATGCCATTAAGATTCGAGTTAGAATCTGGGTACATTTTTCTTGACATTTTTTCCCTTTGGATGGGTCTTGTCCGAGTCAATTTATCCAGGAATGGGATAGACAGCTTGACTCTTGTATCCATTAGTACCAACCGTCCTAACACCAAAGATGACATTGTCCTTGCTTAGTGGAAGAACCACAGAGCCGGCGTTGCCCACATCAACTGTGTGTGTCCACAAGCTGGCTGTTGTGGACCGCCAGACGATTTCATACCCAGCCACATCAAGACTATCGGATTTGATCCACTTGATCCGCGAGTTGTTATCAAGTACGGTTGTGTCAATGGTTACGTTCTTCGGCATGCCGGGAGCTTGCGAGAGCGACCAAAGTGTAGCAAGATTAACTTTGCCAACGCGTGCTGTGTACTCAAAGTCGACAAACTCAACCAGGTCACCATATACAGTCCCATTTTCAGTGCGGATGTCTTGGTGCTGATGAGCAAAGTTCTCGTTGGGTTCCGTGTAACGAATTGCAGGATACCCAGCGCGAAGGAAACCGGTATGGTCGCCACCACGCAGGAAGCGGTCCAGACGGTAGATGATAGCAACATTCATACCGGTGGCATCATTAGCAGCAACTTCAGCGGAGAAACGTGCGAGCTCTCGTGCAGAGGTGTCGCTATCGCCACCGATTTGAAGGCGTCGAGCAGGTGTAAGGTTGTCAGTTCCCGTCAGCGATACGCCCTCTGCGAAAACGCGAATAGTAAAGGGGTCCTTTTGTCCACGGTCGCCAGTCGAGGACCCCACGATATCGCAGTTCAACATGCCTTCGACGTTGGTGCTAGAATTTCGTAGTGTCTCGGCAAGGTAAGTGGAGCCATAGAGGTTTTGCTCTTCGCCAGCAACAGCACCCAGAATGATAGTAGATTTTGGTTGATGCTTAGATAGTATACGAGCAATCTCCATGGCAACTATTCGAAGTCAATCTCCACTCTACGAAAAATGCAGTACTGAACTTACTAGCTGTCCCACTAGCATCATCATTGGCACCAGGTGAATCGGCTTCGTAGTTGAGGACGTCGGTGACGCGACTGTCATAGTGCCCGGTCATGACGTATACCCTGCTTGGATCCTGGCTTCCTTTGGCGGTCGCTAAGACGTTCGAGATAGTGACTGGGAACGGGATCCTGCTGGCCACGCCCTGAACGTAGCTCTGGACCTCGACAGTCATGGTCCCATTGCTTTCATCGGCATACTTTTTCATTTCAGAAGCAATCCAGTCCCTGGCTGCATGGATACCACGCGTTGAGCTATTGTATGTTGCAAGGGTATGGCGAGTTCCGAAAGAGACAAGCTTCTCGATGGTGGCTTGGATATTGGCAGCGTTCACTTCATCTAAGATTGCACGCATCTCATCATCCGGAGTTTGCGGAACGAGTTCAGTACCGACATTTGAGGGCGGCCATGCTGCATTGGCGCATTGAGTGTACGTCTGGTCGTTGATGGCAACTGGAGGGGGAAGGTCGCGCTCATGAACATCATGCGCGCATACCGCTGAGATCAGCGTACTGGCACGCAACAGCGACAGCAAGCGCATGGTTATGTTTGAGAAGGAGAAGATGGGATATCTGGATTTTCTCAGGGCAGCGACTCAAATAGAGAAAGCCGGATAGGCCGCGGCCAAGAAAGCAGGACGGCATGCCATGACATCAAACTCCGGCTCGGAAGTCGAGAAGTTATCGAACTTCCCATGTCGGTTAGAGGCTTTAGCCGACGATATCGCCCCTCGACTTTGTCTTGCACTTTTTGCGGTTGGTGGTAGCCACAGGATCCGCAGTTGCTAATAGCGAGCGTCCCGCGAGCAAGGATTGCGTAGACGATTACCCGGATAGGCAGGAGGGGAAGAGACCGACGTCAAGATTGGACCCCCGTGATTTAGACGGAGGTGAATGGGAATTTATATGGGGAAACATAGTAGAGTTGGCCATAGGGAAGACCTCGCTGGATGGATGGCCGAGGCCGAGCAGGTTGCGATAAGCGGCTGGTGTGCATGTCGCGTTCCTGTGAAGCGGATTATCAACATGCGCCGAGCAGTATGTTTTGAGAGAAATTTGCTAGGACCAAGAGAAATGTAGTCGAAGGCGCCTACGCGATTGGTATCGATGCAGTTGAGAGAAGAGCATGCCTAGAGCGCCGTTCAGGATGGTGTTCGCATTCCTGATCCAGTCTGCTTTGGGTTAGCGCTAGAATGCGACAACGATTGCATGTGGCCATGATGCAATCTGTCAAGTCACCAAAAAAACGTTGCCTACAAGGCACCAATACATACAGAACCAGTTGTTCAAGAGCGCACACACTCTCGCATACAATCCCTACGCGATTATTCCACACTCGGCCGTAGCCAAAACAGCCAAAAAAGCTCGCAATGGTCCGTCTGGTGGCGCATATGTAGCATAACACAAGCTCACGTCGCAAACAGAATGCCCTCTTCAATTCAGCCTTGCGGCAATCGACCTCGATACGGAAAGACTTGGATCAATTTGCCGATTCAGCCTCGCCCTCTCCACACCTCCAGGCCCAGCTCAACGCCTCCCTCGCAACATTCGCCCGCACCATCGACGACTATGGCAAGCTCGCGAGACAAGAGCCGGTGCAGACAAAGGCCGAAAAGGCGCAGGAGAGATTGAAGAACTTCAGGGCAGAGCTGGATGAATACCGTGCCAGCTTCAAGCGCATAAAGAGCGCCAACGAGGACATTGTACGTTTCGAACCACCGTCCGCGTTCAGAAGCGCATGCGACAAATGCGTACTGACAACCCTCACAGCAAACCACAGAAGCCCGCACCGAACTTCTAGGCCGGCGCCCTCATAACACAGCCACGCCTGAGAATCCATATGCACAGCACAACCTGGCTGCCCAGCACTCAGCCTTTGCGCCCTCCCAACCCTACGACCCCAATGCCCCCTACCGACCCAACTCATACTCGGCAGGCGCCCCACAAGGCGGCCAATACGATCGTGAAGGCCATCTTTTGCGCGAAAATACCTTCTTCAACAAAACCTCGGAGCAGCTCGACGAGTTCCTCGACAGGGGAAGAGCTGTGCTCGGCGATCTTGGCCAACAGAGGGACATGCTCAAGGGCACCCAGAGAAGGCTATACACAGTTGCCAATACCCTAGGCATTAGCGGCGACACGATACGCATGGTCGAGAGGCGAGCAAAACAGGACAAGTGGATCTTCTGGGGTGGCGTCGTTGTCTTTTTCCTCTTCTGCTGGCTCGTCATACACTATCTACGCTAATCTCAATCCACTTGGTTTCCTTTTGCATCAATTTCAGCGTATTTGGTTGAGTCAGCAAGGCGTCCGGTGCATCCAACATAGTGAGGGGTCACGAGCTCTTTTTTTTGCGTGGCAGGACATCATTGGTTTAAGGCGCCATCATGCGTTCCTTCACGATGTCTAGGTTTTCCAATAGACTCCGGCCGCAACTGGAACAGAAAAATTCTATCATTTATTAATGGTTTCATCCAACCATTCACACCAGGTTCAGGACCTGGCCCTATCAGTGAGCATTACCTCCAATCAAATCTTTCCGACATGAACTGTTGGTCACACCATCCTGGTTAGGTTGCACAAGTTTGCTGCTAGGGATACAGAGCACGACTATCAGCTTCTGGAGAACTATCATTGCTCTCATCCGGTTTAGCACTATCTCACTTCGCAGAGTCGAGTCTTTGAGAGTTATAACTGCGCTATGGTATACTACGAAAGCAGAAGCTATCACTCTGGAAGGGATATTGCGACACGACATGGTCGTCCCTGCTTTCCAAACTGAGCAGTACAAACCTATCGTTCCTACTCAAATGCCAAGTCTATTCAATTCACTCTAGCCTAACCAAGGAAAATCCTCTTTGCTCCGTAGAACTGCTATCCCATTCTCTCCGTCCGGGCAAAGTCCCTAACCGCAAGGAAATCTCTCTGGCCATCCAAAACCCCGAACGATGTCCGTCAATATGCGCCACGTATGAGCCGGTCAAGCTTTCCATTAACATTCTCTAGTGTTTCCTTCATCTCCCGCTGCTGATACTGGATCTTGTTCAGTTTGTCAAAATACTCATCTCGACGATATCTGACGGGTACGATTACGGGGTGCGCACATGCTGGGTTAGCAAAAACTGGGACTTCGAGTTTGAAATCCACTTTGCGACGTCCATATTTCACAACAGGTGCTGGTCGTGCCCTGCCATGACGCTGTTGAATAGAAGCAGCCAGAGGGCGGATTTCATGTGATTCTTGAACTTTTTCCGCTGCCTTCTTCCAGTCTGCCAAGTACTCACTTTTTTCGTGGCGGTTGATCTTGTCCTTGGTATGGTCCCAGAAAGTGGACAACGCCTCGACTAGTAGCGAGGACTCAAACTTCCGTGCCAGCTGCACTAGAATAATGAATGTATGTCGCAAGCATTGGAGGTCTTTGGTCCGATATGCGTTGTTGAGGCACTCCTGATCGAGATAGTGCTGGAGGACCTGACGAACACGGTGTCGCGTCTCCCCATTGCCATGTTGCGCGTAAGGTCCGAGTATGCCGAAGAATCGCTCCAAAGTCTTCTGAATGACTTCCTTTCGGATACCGAAGTGACTGTTGAAATAGTTATGCAGTCTTTGTACCCAGAGATCTCCTTGTATCGAATTTTCAGACTTCTGTTTGGGAAACCATGCGCGGAACGTTTGCGCGTCCACCCATATCTGCTTTTGGCCTAGGCGGACTTTGATGTTTTCCATGTTCGGATACAACGTCGGAAAGAAAATGAGAGAAGTATCAGAGCAAAAAATAATCGAAGTTGTTGCGGTCTTTTGGGGGAGGGACAGATTTTACCTGCTTGCCGCGTTCAAGTCAGGATCTCATCATTATGTATTACACTCATTCGGTCGAACCACAACATCAGTCCAAACGCCAAATCAGCTCGACAGTTCAGCTGTCTCGGCTACGTTCTTTAGTCGCACAGCTTGTAAATATGTTTGCTCCCAACAGCATTCGATACTCAGGCATCCAAGCATCATGCCCTGACACGGTTGCCACTTTGGACACGTCAGCCCAAGATTGCAACAGCGCATGCCGAAATAAGAACATCCAACCGTACACATTTTTTTAGCCTCAGCTTTGACGTTCACTTGCCGACAACAAACCTACCACGTTACATCAACTTCGTTAGGCCTAAAACACCGCCACCCAACGCTCGCAGCTCGTAGTGAATGAGCTTGCAGGCTAGCAATTTCCTTCCGGAAGGGTGTGTTAGTCTAAACATACCGCGACCCATTGCAAGTCATCATCGGACGAGCTCTTCATTGAAAATGGACTTGTGAGAGGCTACCAAGCAAGCCACCAAAGCTATGGTGAAACGTCCACTCCGAGCATGTTACACCAGATATAATGCGAATGAAGACATTTCTTGTCGCCGCCAAGATCCATCTACCTTACTGTTCAAAAATTCCTACAGTCTATGAACTTACTTGGGGGCAGACATTCACTGTCTATCGAGAATCGCCAGACGGGTTGAAAGTAAAGCAATCAACGTGGAACACAACCACAGCCTCAAATCAAAAGATGACAACATCACACCTTTGAAAACATGGGAAGTAAGATCGAAGGAGAAAAACCTAAAAAAGCCTTGATCTAGCCATGTATGGGAATCTTGTACCAACCCAGCCAAAAAGAAAAACGCCACACTAGATGCTCGCACACTCCCCATCCCCCCCTCTTCACCAATCCAATCCCCCAGCACCCCTCTCACCGCCAGCCAGTATCTGCGAGGCTTTCCCCTTCTCCCCCAATCCCCCCTCAAGATGCGACACCGGCACGCCCTTCCTCCCCTTAAGCTGCAACCTTTGCAACTTCTTATCAAGCGCCACAAACGGATCCTCCGTCTCACTCTTCTTAATCTTAAACTTGCTCGTCCCTAGCACGCTATCCAGCTCCTCCACACTGGGCAGCTTAACATACAACCAACCATCATCACGCTCCTCGATCGGGAAAACAGCAATATTAACAGACTCGTCGTTTGCACACTTGCCTGCGTTTTCGCCAGAGAGCTCGTAGTTGCGTTTATGGTAGGGGCACGAGACCCAGAGTTTGTTGTTTGCGAGGTCGTCGCCGATGAGGCCGTCGGAGAGCACAAAGGCGCGCTTGTGCGGGCACATTTGTTGCGTGCAGTAGTATTTGCCGCGGACTTTGAAGACAGCGAGTTGCGTGTCGCCGCGCTTGATGGCCTTACTGTCACCTGTATCTGCGTCCTGGAACTCTGAGGCTTTGACCAAGGGTTGCCAGGAGAGCTCTGTCCATTTTGTGCCGCGGAAGTCTTCGGTGATGGAGTCTTTGGGCCAGTAGGAAGGACGTTCTTGGCCGCGTTCTTGTGTGGGCTCGATGGTGTCGACGATGGTTTCCGAGGTGTTTGCGAATTGCGAGAACCAGGCGCGTTTCTTGGGGTCTTTGAGAACTTCGGTCCATTCGCAGAAGAAGGTACCGACGAGATCTTCCATTTGCTTCTCGAGATCGGCGCAGATGCCGAGTTTGTCTTGCAGGATGACTTCCTGGAGGTAC